GTTATATCGCGAGAGTGATATGAGGATGTGACGTAGAGGCTAGTTTCGTGTTAATTCGTAGTCATTGCGTCAACCGCCTTTTATTAAACATACAATTTGCAAATCTTTCTATATATATATATGTCACAGGATTCGCGAAACGACCTGATTTTCATATTTCATTAGCATCAATAATCTTTTAATGTCGAGCAAATATAATTTTATCGGTTCAATTATTTATCATTCAATTTATTTTTTTATACTTAATTTATTTATTTCACTCATGATTGCTCATGATTTTCCCAAAATCCCAACTCGGACCTTAAAGATTGATTTCTGGACTACTTTTAGAAAGAAAATTATTTGCTAAATAAGATATATCGAAAGGAATAAATTAAATTGTCACGAATCGTTAAATAAGTAAGAACAACAGTTTCATTCATTTAAATGATAAAGATCAATAAAATGATAACGCGTTGAAAATAGAATATTTAAATTTTTAACTATCTAGTCTTATATTGCGAATATAAATAGAATTCTCAGAAAAGGTTTGATTTCTTAACTTGATGGTCGACATACATATTTAATATTGGAAAAATTTATGAAATAATCTTAAATCTTTTATAAGTAAAAGTTTAGGAAACGTCTGTATTTCTCTTTTTTAATATATCGATCGTTGGAATATTACAGGATATAAATATGATAGACTATATTTACGATGCTAAAACAACAAGAATATAGTTTTGTTTGTTCAATTAAAAAAAAAATTAAGGATTGGATCAATAAATTATATTTGACATGAGAAATAAAAAAAAATAGAGTACTTGTAGTGTATTGCAGTGATCACAGAGTGTTACCTATTCACCTTTTTGTACCTATTTTGAAATTTGGTACCTTTTGTACCTATTTTGATAATTTGTTACCTTTTTTACCTATTTTCAGTTATCACAGTAAGTTTTAAAAATTATTTTTTATTTTATAATTATTTTTCTGCGTTTGAATATCTTTTTTCTTATACATAAAATTAACTCTTATTTAATAAGCATTAAAATAAAGCATTAATTAATCGGTTGGACGTGTGGTCATTTTTTCTCCCGTTGGACGATGTAATTTTATATTTTTTGCTAAAAATTCAGAATCAATGCATAATGCTTTAAAAGAAGCAGTGAAAAATCATGCTTAAGAGATCGTCATCAAAGAAATGCAGGGTTGCCACAGACCTGGAAAACCTTGAATTGTCAGGGAATTTTATAAATAATTCTCATTCTGAAAATTCAATTTTTTCTATTTGAATATTCAAAATCTCAAGTTTTCAAGTTGTCATTGTACAATATCTTTTTGATTTTAAATTCAGTGTTTACAGTTGAAATCTAAATCATTTCTAAAGTTTAGTTATTTCTGGTCAATATTTTCCTTTGCATAATTTTAAAATTAATATTTTTAAATGCATTTTAGAAACTCAAAATGTTATTAAAATGATTAAAATACTCGTTTAATTGTGAAAAATTGTGAACAAAACTAAATTTTTTAATTCTTATTTTTATCTATATTTTTTCGTTTACTTTAAACTATGTAAGTGTGATGCGCTCTGAAGAAAGGTACTTTAGAAGCAAAAGATTGTAGGTTATGGTTGTAATTTTTTGAATGAAATTACACAAAGGGGATTAACTCTCAATATAAAAAACTGATATTAAAATCTTCATTACAACTATCATAATAAATCAAAATTAAATTTGGTTTTACAAAATTAAACAAAAACTTTTAATTTTTTACTTTTAATTAAGTTAAAAATAACACAAACAAAGATTTGCTTCTAAGGTTTTCATAGGACTTTTCTTCGGAGTGTATCACAAATAATCTAGCAAAGTTTAACTTTAATTTCAATTATTCATAAAATTAAAAATTAATTACTTATGTTATTTATAATTTACTTCGAGATTTTTAAATTTTTTGTCGTAATTAGAAAAAAATTTATAAAAACGATTTCACCATTGGGTCTGGAATTTTTTAAGAAATGATCTGGAAATCCTGGAAAAGTCATGGAATTTTAAAATCTGTTTTGTGGCAACCCTGAAATAAATAGATTTGGAATAAATTTTGATTATATATATTTTACAAATATATAAAATTTATAATGATATATTTAGATATTTGAAAAAAATACTTTCTCTTAACAATAAAAATGTTAATAAACCTTAAATTACATGTTTATTCGTGTTTTACAGTACTTTTATTGTTACCTATTTGTTACCTATTTTCGAAAAAAATTGTACCTTTTCACCTTTTTTAATAATAATAGGTACTGTGATCCCTGGTATTGTAATCTATATTTTAACGACTAGCGTAACAAGACATTGAGTTCAGTGGACCTGCGTTATCATTACTTATAATGTTGTCATCATTTACAGTTCAATAACGTTATAAATTTGATATTTATTATTATTATTATTATTATCATTATGAGAATTACAATTTTTAATTTGTAAAATATATTAAATTTAATGAGTAATTTTTCACTTGTTAATGTTTTCCTAGAGGATATAAATTTTTCCAGAATTGTCCTTCTATTAAAATAATTTTACTATTAGGGCCAGTTACACTAAAAATACACGACAAAGAGAGATCTCGATTACGTTTCAAGGTCTTGATCGGGGTCCCCTTGTTTTTTTCATTTTTTTTTCTTTAAATCCTTTAATGTTATTCCCCCTCAACGTGCCTCACCCATAAAATCCCCTTCCTGTTTTTTCTCTCCACTTTTTCTTGCCCTTGTAGTTTACCAGTTATCATATGTTCACACACGCACGCGGGATCGAAACTGGTTATATGCCTACCTAGAGGTTGCTCCAAAAATAATCTCAGAAACTTTTCAATTATTTTTTTCCCTCCATATATATTTATTTAAAAAAAAAATGTTACGAAGACTATACAGTTGATGTCATTAGCAATAAAAAATTTATTCTCATGAGTCATTAAAAAAAATAAGTCTTTCGGAAAAAACAATTATAAATTTATGTTTTCTTCTTGTGACCAATTTATAAATATTTTTTGAGAATAGTGTGTTTTGTTAATTTTTTTTTAATGTCGATTGCGGAAATGGAAAGTGTCTGGCAGACGTAAAATATAATTTGGGAAAGACAGTTTTACGGATGTGTGGAAGTGAAGAAGGGGGGAAAGGGAGAAGTACCGGTCAAATATAATTTTTGGCAACCGAGAGAAACGTATAATCATCTCTCGGTTCACCATCGAAAGTTTCTGCATTCTGCTAGTGAGGACGCACGTTTCGAAAATAGATGCCCAGATCGACCTACTGGAACCACATCAAGAGTTAAATCGAAACGAGAATAATTATTGCGAGAACAGAGAGAAACGTCTAACATTAGACGACCCGTGTGTGTTGTCAAAATGTCAAAGTTATTTATTATATCCCACTTTTAATTAATAATCTGTCTTCCGACTTGTTGTGCAAAAGAAAATTAATATAAAACCTATTTTCTTCTTTAGAAATATTTTCAGTTTTATGTCAAGTCAAAAATTTTTGATATTTTGAAACTAAAATTTCGAATTATCTGAAATTTTTAATCTTTGCGAAACTTAAAAACTAATGAAGAAAGCAGAATAACGTTTACTAAAGTAAAGTAGGTAATAGAAGAAAATGCAAAAGTATCCCTCTCTTTCTTCGTCTCATGCTTTTCGTTCGTAGATGGCGCCACTGAGTCCTTTTGAATTAGTTCAATACGCATAAAAATGAAATCATGTTAATGTTACAAATAGTGTCATAAATTGTTATTAGGGCTCGAACCAGTGAAAGTATTTAAACATTTTACTTAAAACTATAAATTACATTTTTCATTATTATAAAACATGAAGAAATCGATCTTCATGTTTTATAATAATGAAAAATTTGCAATTTCAGCGACCTTTTTAAAAAAACGGACTTTTACGGGATATACGGACCTAGTTCAAGTCCTGCGTTATTCATCGAAGAAATAAAAAATAAGAATTAATAATTCTGTTTTCATAAATGAATTATCTTCAGCAATTATAAACATCACGGGCACCAATTAGAATTAGGAAAAATATTTATCTACTCGACATATTCAGAATTCCTGTGCTGATATAAAGCAACTTTTATACGTTTCTCACATCATGCTAAAATAAAAAATACATAAGAAAAAACGCTTATAATTTCATTGGCAAAGACAGGAATTTATCTATATAATTTAGAAAAACTATTTTTCCTCCTAAATAAGACTATATATTCTCGGAATATAAAATAAATTTATTTACAACTTTTTAAAAATCTTTTGCAAAACCACAAAGTAAACGTGAATAACAAACTGAAAATATATTTTTAAATTGTCACAATGTAGAATTCATTATTCACACTTTTTCTATTTATGAAAATTTATCACTAATATTTGTTGAAGATATTTTTTGGAAAAGTGTTTATTTTTTTGTACATAGAAACTAATGTATTAGAAAAATATTTTCTAGCAAAATGTTTTTTTATGGAACAGGAATAATATCAATATTGTGTAGAAACACGTGAATGACGTTTGCTAATGTTGTTCTTATCAGTTGTAATGATAGTTAACTGTACATTAAATGCAGTAACAGTGGCATCTGATAAAATAGTTGGAACAATGACACATGAAATATATATTTTAACCACGTTTTTAAAAATTTTGAATTAGGTATAAGATTTTGAATTTATCATTTTTCTTGTCGACTCTTTAAAAATATTTTGAATTGTGCGAGGTATTTTTAGAGTCACTTATCACTAAAAGCACTATTTTCACATTAGCATTTACCTGTCGATACACAAATGATTTTATTTTTTCTTTGAAAAAAAATGAAGAAGCGCTAGTTGCAGGTGGACAGAAAATAAACGTTTACGTCAGTTGTTGAAGCACATAGTGGTGTAAGGTCAGGAGGTAGTCTCCGCTATGACGATGCACACTATGGATAAGATTAGGTTCTTCCACCTCATAAAAGAGGTAAACGTCGACGGGAGCTAGATGAGAACGCGTCTGTTTGCTCTTCCTCTATGTTCGCGCGTACTCTCGTTTTGCGTATATAAAAGAGTCGTCCTCGGGACATTCTCAAAGACGAATTGGCAGTGATCCGGGATTTTCTGCGTCGCGCTACTTGTGCCGAATAGTGACAAATACCCCTTAAACTTTTTACTCCCTTTGTTCAGTTTTTGTTTTTGGGAAATACTCGAATAACACGAATGATTGGATCTTAGTTTCTTGTATAGTTGAACTGAAATTTAGGATATGTGTAGTACATTTGTTAATATATGATGGTGTAATGATTAGGAAGATGATGCTGTGAAGAAGATCCAATCTGAATGAGAAGTGTTTTAAGCTACAAAAATGGGGAATTCTAATAGAGAAGCTGATGTTGAGATGAACGCCCTGTCTGCTGCTTTTCCTGGTGATCGACCGCATGTCATGGTTATTATTACTTCAAGATGAAATATTTGCTTTCAGCAGTAGAATCATCTCATAATTCAGCTTCGATGTTGAGCATAATGCTTTTTCAAATTTTCTCATTGCTTTCTCCGAATTGTTTGAAATGTTTTGTTAATAGAGAACCGGTTAAAGCTTTCGAGTTCAGCTTTTCTATTCTATAATTAAAGATTCGAGCATATCATACTAAATTCCTCTTTAAGGAAGAGTCTCATACTCACATGCATGTTGTGTCTAGCAACCATGTCCCACGTTTAGATTTGAAGTTGTAATAATAGTAGCAAAGACGGAGGAGGTCTTGGCGCCTAGAGCACGTGTAGTTGGAGACGCCCCCGCACATGCAATAGATTGATTTGAGCTTCAATTGCAATTCACACTTCTTGAGTGCTGTATAGACGAAAAACGAGTACGAGACAGAGGTGGGCGAATTGTGCATATCTTGGCACTGACGATACTCGTTACCCTATACTTATAAAGTCGAGTCTGTATGCATACATTTGTTACTCAGACGTTTGTTATCTCCTAGGTAGATATTACAACGTACTTTAGGCGCCAAGAATCATGCAACTGAAACTCATCGTGAAAATTACAATAGTCATACATCATTTCAATCCGGATTGCACCCAAAATTTCTCTGTGACTAAATCCACATTCCACAACTTTTATCACAGCAGGCAAAGTCATTAAATTTTTCGTTCTGCCTCTTGATTTTATTTTTAGACGACTGGCATGTTCCTTTTCTGATGCTTCTTCAAATTTGCTTAATTACCAAGAACTAACAATTTTGTTTGCGACAATGCGACATTACAGAAATTAAGTTGTGAATTATCAACGGATTATTTAATGCGTATCATACAGTAACAATTCAATGACTTTTACTGAGCATTGTCGAAATTTTTATACAGATTTTAGATCAGTATATTGCGCTACATAAACCAATTAGTAAATATAAGACAACAGTCCGATAAAAAAATTAAATCATCCAACAGATGATCTCTAATCATATAATGTGAAAATGCTAATGATTATTGTATTGTTACAGAGAACGCCTATGCGCCCGATGATAGCGGAATACGACCCAAAGAAGCACGGGGTGAAAACAGAACTGTCAGACATGGTTCTTGTCAAGTAAGTGTTGACAGTTGAAATAATGAAACCGATGCGAACGAAACGGTCAACAGTAGATCGAATGATTTACTCTACTTCTACGACCAATCATCATCATTGCTTTCTTGCCAAATCCAAATAGTCAGTGCTCTAGCAAATGTGAGTGACTCCGGAGGATCATATATATCGTGCATTAATTCTTATGTATCTTTATATGCTCACATTTCATTCCCGTTTTTTCTTATTTTACATATTTAATGATATAAAATCAAATTCATTATAAACGTTTTACGTAACGCATACCACCTGGAATAATATATGTTTCAAGTTCAGCGAGTTAGTGGCCTTGAAAGACATTCGCTGCCATGGCACACCCGTTTTTTACAATTGTATAATCATCACAGATAAAATTGATTGTGGTACAAATTGAAGTGAATGACGTTAATGAAAGATGAACGAATTATTATGAATTGTGTTTCTATGAATAAATTATGAATTTAACGCGAATGATGGTGCTGAATGAATTGGTATTAAATGGATTACAGAAAAATTAACTAACTCTGGGGCGCATGAATATTTCCTGAAAAAAGAATTTTATGTAATACAGTCTTTTATTGCGACCGGAACTTCACACACCTCGTAATTTTTTATGAATGAAACTTTCTATAGCTTTTGATGCTTTTCTGGCAAAATCAAATGTACACCAATTTTGGTATTGTTAATATAGAATAGACAAACTTATCCTATGTTAGACTAGTCACAAAAAAATAAAATACTGTATAAAAATTGGAATTTTCTTTTACATAAGAGATAAAAAGCAAATTTAAGAAATAATTGTGCGTACCAGAATAGAAATGATATGAACAAGATAATGCATAAGCATCACTGATATAATTGATGTAAATATGGTGCATGAAAAAATGTGGGAAAAGTTCTGGAAAATCTTTATCGTCGTTTATCACAATTAAATGTGTCTAAACTATTCTTCATTAAAACATTCTTTAGATTATTTCATTTTTATCTCGATATATTGCATACAAGGTCACTGTGCAACATTCTTCAGTTTTTCCATATAATGCGTAATATATGTTTAGTTTTAACATTTACAATATAATTGTACCAAGAATCTAAAATTGATAAGACATTATTAAACTTTAGAATTAAATGTAAGATTAAAAAAGTTAGAACACTCTTAACACGGTTTTGAGTCACTAAAAATGTTCGGGAATCTTTTTGAGAATATTTGGAACAAGATGCTTTGACGTCTGATAATTTTGAAAAACCATTAAAATTTTTAATTTTTCTTTATCTTAAATAGAAGTTTCTTCATCTGTAGAAAAGGATTTTTTTGATTGTTAGTAGAGATTTTGTCAATCGATAAATTTTTTCATTCTCATTTTCTTAAATTTTCGATATTATTTTAACAATTTTTTTTAGTTATTTACTTATATTTTCAAGTATTTTTAGTTTTATATTCTTTTTATATTCTTCTTTTTTTATTTGTGTGTGAAGAAATTTTGAAAGATAAAAATACATAATAAAGTGAAGAATGTTTTTTACGTGAGAGAATATTGACAATAATTTTGTGTTAAAGGGGGATGATGGCTGAAGGCCAAGAATTCAGAAAAGTGACAAAAATAAAAAATGTGGGTGTTTGAATGTAATGCCGAATAACAGTGAATACGTCAAAGCAAAAAGAAGAAGAAGAACTATGAGAATGCATTTACACTTAACAATAAGTTATATCTATTGATTTAGTGTCATGATGTCGAATTGTCTTTCATTTTTCTATTCACTGCACATTAAAAATCCTCCAAAAAAATATAATATTAGTCTTTAAATCCTTTATAAAATAAATTAAGGAAATTTTTCAAACAGTACTGATCATATTTTTTAATTTTACATTATGCTTCAATTTTTTCAATGTTTTCATTTTATTTATTTTATTCATTTTATTATTATATAAATTTTACTCTTTTGTATATATAGATATATATTTTTTTAAACATTTTACTAGAAAAAAAGTAATTCTCAATCTAATGAAAAATAGTTTGTTTCGAAAATAGTTAGAATTTTGAAAAGTAGATAAAAAATGGAAAAAATTAGTCTTTCCTCCAAGTTCATCTTGCTTTTTTAGAAAGTCATTTTTAGTATCCACAGTATTCATCTTCTTGGCAAAAAGACTGCGTTTCTTTTATCAATTGCGAGTCTCGAGGTAATACGCATGCAGTGATTGTAATATCATAATCATGTCCATTGCGTGATATTGCTTACGCGTGTAGTATAATTTATTGTTGCCAAACGTTTCCGCTATATAGAAAATGATATACATATATATAGAAGTTTTAAAATATATTTTATTATCATTATTATTCTGTAGAATGCATTAAAAAAATATTTTCTTTTCGCTTCTCGCAAAAATTTTCAGTTTCTGAAAGAATTTTTTTTATGTGGTTGCCTTTTGTAATAAAATGCTTTATCGTCACGCACTATATTTATTTATCTTCTTCATATATATATATATATAGCATACCTGAATTTTTCCGTACCTGTATAAATAAAGTTTAAACTCGTTTTCAGTTAATTAGTTATTGTTCGTCAAGTCTCGTTTACTGTACTTATTTCCATATATAGAAAAATTTTAATTTAAAAATGAAAGCGAATATTTTTTGCATTGATGGGTGTATTGAGGAAAGAACAGATAAAGAAAGGTACATACTCATTTATAAATATTTAGTACGAAATATGGTTGTTATTGTTCAATATTGTTTACGTGCATATTGTTTGCAAATTCAAATTTTTCGAATCGTTAAAATGTGGTAAAGTTAATTGTACATTGTATGCAAAAATTTTCTTTTTGAAAACTTTTATTAGATTTTTTTATTCAGTTATTATATCTCAATGACCACAAAAATTTATTTTCACCTTAAATGTATAAATATAGGAATTTATTTGCTACGTATTAAATTTTATATACAAAAATTCTGATTTTACTTTATTTGTTACGTTTTCTGCAAAAGTTACAAAAGTCGTTGTTTATAGAGTGTAGAATTAGGAATATTTTACTTTTTTGTAAATATTTATATAAAAGCACAGGATTAATGCCAAGAAAAATATTACTTCTTCATATTTATTGGTTTAATATAATAATATTAAAATTTAATTATTTAGTTTTTAAAGATTTACGAACTTAAAAATCATTATAGATGAATTGGAGGAGAAACTGTTTTAAAAAACATATTGAGGAAGAGGTGCAAAGGTGGTATGCGCGAAAAAAGAATTTTGAAAAATGATCCTACTTTATTAAAATATGATTTAAAAAATAAAAAAATAGAAAACGTCCCGAGTTTATAAATTTCTGACTATAAAAATAATGTTAGTATAAAGATTTCATTATTAATAAAATCTAAACGATGTTGTTTTTTATTGTATAATATGTGCATTTATATGATTCCAGAAGTGCGTATAGAGTCCGGGCGCACAGTTAATAACATTCGGGCTCTATATGAAAGTACTCTGCGAACTAAAAGTTAAAATCAGTGAAGTGACTTATGACATACTGAGAAAAAACAGACTTGACGTTAATTAACATAAAGAAAAGTGAACGGAAAATGAATGGAGTTTAATTGAAATTTAAATTCTAAACAAAATTTAATTGTAACAAGCTTAAAATTTTTTATTTGTTTTAATGTAGAAGTTAATTTGTCGTAGAATTTTAATACTTTTTGGTCCATTTTGTAAATTTCGTAATTTAAATAATTTTTTCAAGTCTAATATTTTTTATTTGCCATTTAAAAATAGTTATTACTCTTAGTGGAAAAATTCAGTTGTTTAGAATACAATTAATTATCTCCAAATATTTTCCGCGAAAAAATTGGACCCTTGTGCGTAAGAAATCTAACACTATTATTTTATTTACTAAACTGTGCAATTGTTCAAGTTCGCAATAGAAAAACTAATAAGATTTTTCCAACTTAAAAAAAGTATAATTTTTACAAAAGCGTTTTTGAATTTCCCGCCTAAAAGTAGCTAGAAAAGCACGAGATATGGTTGGATTTCTCCCCCACCACTGGGCAGCACTGAATGGTCCGATTTTCTGTTAGAACACACACTTGACATTAACTTGTTTTTACTTGTGTACCAATAAATACCATTCGTTCGAAAAGAAATAATGAAAAATTTGCAAACTTTACTGATCTAATTTTAATGCAAGAAAAAAATAAAGCCTAATCGTTTAACGTGTGTAACCCTTATTTTTGTGAAGTGCAATGTTAGAGTAAACACGGCTTTTGTTAGTCGTCGTACTGCGTCGTGGCGCTGGGCGTCGGTGATGCAGTGCGGTGGTTGCAGCTGCCTCAATCCGCGCGTGACACACACGCGTTGAAACCTGTGTCGTCACGTGACACGTGACACATAAACTCTAGTCTCGAGCTTTCTCGACAGAAAGCTCCACACAGCTAAGGAGAGAAACTACCGCACCTCAACGGGTACCTACTACACAACCTACCTTTTTTACGATATGTAAAAACCTATCCTATGTAAATGTAAAGTACCTTTTATTACAAGGTAAAATAGGAGAGAAGCATTTCATTGCGCCGTTTAACTTACACGCAATTGCATTTAATCTATGGTTTTTGTTTATTATTATCATCATTATTATTACTTATTAAATGAAATAATAGATTGTTTTTAATACACAGTAAAAATTTTTTAATTTCTTTTGACTGAAAGTATGAGATAACTTTCGTTTCTTCGTCGTTTGGTAGTTTACTAGAGTTGCAGTGTTGGGTAGCTATACATCGAAAGCCGTCAATGCTTCCGATTGGCTGGTAATATTTCCGAGAACTTTGCCAGCCAATCGGAAATGCAGTTTTCGTTGTACACCGCGTTGCTACCCAACTACAATTCTCTATAACTATTTTTCGTTAATTTAAAATTAGCTAGAAATTAAAGTCTCTGTTTATCAAGATGTTAAATGTTTTTGGGTAAAGTTATTGTAAAAAACAAATTCGATTATGCGAACAATTAAGTTATTTAAACAAAAAAATTTACTTACCGACTCTTCCTTTCTTGCAACTGTTATGATTCGTTCTTTTCTCCCAGGGATGGACTGCTACTTCCTATAAATAAAAATAAATATTCATTGAAATACCTTTTTAGAAAATATTTATATACTTAAGTAATAAGGAACAAAAAGTTTTGAACGTTCAAATGAACGAAATATTTTTTGTTAAAAATATTTTCATAGATTATTAATTACAATTCAAATTAAAAACTCAAATTTTACATTTAGAAACATTATAATTAATTTGCTTAATAGTGACGCAAAATTAAAGTAATAAAAATTTAATTTGAAGAAGAAATAAATAAATTTCGTTCATTTGAACGTTCAAAACTTTAACCTCCTAAGTAATACTTGTAAATTCTTTAATCTTTTAATAAAAATTGGTAAATTAAAAAATTATTATTATTAAATGAAAAGTTTTGCTTAATTCAGAAAAGTTAACGAGATGTTTATCTTGTACCAAGGTTGATTTTTGAAGAAAATTTTTACTGTGACTTGAAAATACAAAATTTGATGGCCTTTTGAGATTGTAGTACAATTGTTAGTGTTACGTATGTGTGAAATTTACTCTAGAGGCATATAAGGGAAAAAATAGAATGTAAGTTAAAGATGTAAACTTGTGGACAGTGAATGAAACATTGTGACCTCTTTTTATTTTTGACTATGTCTAATGGTTGTGTATGATGTTCAAATGTGTTTTTGTGTGTGTTTGAAATGGATGCAAAACAAACGTATTTGTTCAATTTTATTACTTTTTCAAATTTTAAACTCACTTCAATCTTAAAATGCCATCAATTGTGGTGCACCACAAGCACTTCAATTTTTTCTTTTTTGCAAAAAAAAAAATAATATAAAATGCAATCACACTTTATTTATACTTATGTATATGAATGTGATTGCTCAGTCGTTTTTGATACAGTGAAAAAAAGTCGCAAACTCATCACATTCCTCAACAGATATATATAAAGAGATTCAAAATTTATTAAAACATTCTTTATTATTAAAACTTTTAAGAAAAAAACATAACTAAATAAATAATAAAATTATCACAATTCAAAAAATAATTTTGTGCTAATTTTGGATGAATAGAAATTGTATCATTCTTATATTGAATCTCATTGTTAATAAGTAGAATGTAAAATTGTGACTATTTTCATTGTTTATATCTTTCTTTTTTGTTAATATATAGCAAAACACAATATAAACAAAACTGTAATGCAATACAAAAATGCGTGATTATTTGCACGAGTGAAGCGTGTAGAATATGTGAATTGCGTTTTTTGTCAAAGAAAAAAAAAAGAAAACATGTAGGATATACGGGTCATTGGTAATGATAATTATTGGAATTTTAGTTGTATTAATTATTATCAATAATCTAGCGTAATATAGAAACGTAATCTAACAATACACGTATACATGGTGTGAGATATACACTTACATAAAACTTTCACAATTTTTTTTTATTTCTTTGAAATAACTGACTTTTGTTTCGATCAAAAGACAAGATAGTATAAAAGTTATTTTTAATTTTGTATTCGAATTATATAGGAAATGATGCAAGGCCATAGGAACTATTAATAATTAACTTAATAGATTCGCCACAATGTTCCTAGGATCGTGTTGTCAAACTATGAAGGCGATCGAATTTTTCTCAACGTACAACTTTTTGAAAATTCTTTTTTTTTCATTTTTCTATTAAACTTTTGGTTAATTTCATCACTTGACGGTTATGAATTTTAAAAAATTTTCCATGAATTTAAATTTCCAAAAAAAATTACTGTATAGCATTTTTGAAGATATAATAATGAAAAGATAAAAATTAACCTAGACATTCAGTTATTTAGTTACATGATCAGATTTCATGTTCAGTTTTTGTAGCACAGGAAAAATATCAGGAAACTTGATAATCCTTGGATCTTTTGTTGATACGGTCAGTTCACACATCAGTACACACATACACATAAATCGGAGTTCATTTTTTGAAATATTAAAACGTGTTATGCACATATCATCATCGAATGCACATGCACGTACACATTTTTTTTCTATACGAATAAAAATGTCATTTACAATTAGTAAAACGATTTGCACGAATTAAAACCTGAAACTCAACAACTATAATATAAAACTTTTGTACTCATTACATATATCATTATAGTCTATATCGGGTTCAAAAAAATAATCGGTTTTTTTGCTAACATGAATCTAGAGAAAATAAAAATGCAGAAAGAATGAGAGAGTGTTTGAAAAAATGTATACGTGCTATATACGAATCATCTGCATGATAATCTCACCTACTATCCAGCGAGCTATCCAGTTATCCTGTCTCTGTCTTTGATCTGCTTTGATTCTTATTTTTTTTACCACGCAATTCACATTTAAATGATTATTCAATACACTGAAGCTTGCTATATATTATTGCTAGGAACGAATTAATTATATAACTATTTTGTATACTAATTTATATTTCTGCATTACGCTAGAAAGTAGATCTGAGTACCGTTTTTCTCCGTATCAAAGACATCCTTAATTGATCCTTGTCAATTTCTTCCCTTGCAGAGTGAAAGTTAAATGACTAATTCATATTGTATAGATATACAGTATGTTTCGAGACAATAGTGAATAAGTGTGTTTGTGAGGAAAAATAAGTATTATCTGATAATAAGTTTAGATATTAAGGGACAATTGAGTCTGAGCGAAAAACTAACAAACTCGGTTTTACAGATACAAGTGTGAGAAAAATGATGTTCCAATTACGGTTACGAATGGCTCAACGCTGCCACTTGTGGAGAGGCCAAATGATGAAGAGGCTGCATTGTACGATCCCTTTGAACATCGTAAACTCTCTCATCCAACGTCCGATTGGGACACATTGGTCCACTTGCTTAAGGGAAGTTTGGGATCCGGGATCCTCGCTATGCCATTGGCCTTCAAGAACGCTGGTTTGTTCGTTGGGCTTTTTGCTACATTCTTCATTGGTGCTGTTTGTACATATTGCGTACACATTTTGGTAAAATGCGCTCACAAACTTTGCAGACGGACACAAACGCCAAGTTTGGGATTCGCCGATGTTGCTGAGGCGGCATTTCTCGTTGGTCCTGAGCCAGTGCAAAAGTATGCACGGCTGGCAAAGTAAGTTTCCAATCTTGATATTCATTATTTATTGCATTCTAGTCTTATGACGATCATTAATTCTTGATTTTAAGTCTTCAATCTGATTATTATAATCGATGCGCACAAACTGAAAATTATTAATAAGAAAGAAAAACGAAGACATTCAAACAAAGATTCGTTTAATGTTACTCCAACATTTCAAAATCCATAGATTTAAAAATTTGTTGATAAAATTCTTTATGAAAATTCAATTGTTTAATAAAATATTTATTTTTCTAGTTAAATAATTTAATTCTCGTAGAATTTTCTAATAAGTATTGATTTAAAAATGAATTTCAAATTAAAATCTTTGGAAAATTTCAACTTTTCATAATTTTAATTAAGAATTCTGTAGAATTAATTTTTCTTAAAAAGTTTAATGAAATTTTTTCTAATTATTTCAAGTTTTTTAATTTCTAATAGGTATATTTAATTGAAGAATTTCAGAATAATCGAAATTTCGTAAAATTAAATTGTAAACAAAAGAATTTGAAAATTCACAAAGAACTTTTTCAAAATTATTTTTAAAAAATTGAAGAATTTTAGTTAAAAATTCTCGAAATGAATAATCGTATAATGATGCAAATAATTTTTGTAGAAGTTACAGTAACAAAGTATCAAGCTTTAATTATTATAAAACATGAAGAAAGTTATCATTTTTTGATTGATATCTTCATGTTTTATAATAATATTCTTATATGTTATTGAATTTCAATTTTTTGGAGTTTTCCAATCATAAAATCTAATTCCTTGAAAAAGGAAGACAAATTATTTATTCTTGAATAAAAATTCCGAGAGACAATTAGAAGTAACAATTTCCTCAGAAGGATATGAATTAAAGAATTGAAGAGGAACTTTTTTTTACACTTAATTTATATTTCATCACTTTAAGGAAAAAATCTTAATGAAGAAAAATAGACGCAATACTTGTCAACAATAACTCGAGAATTTAATGAACTAAAAGTAATTACAGAAAAAAGAATATTCGCAATAAGCAATTATCGTTATGCATCAGTATTTATGTCAATTAAACATCAGGGAATCAGCCTTTCGATGCATATTACCATCATAATTATCATATTATTTATTTATTACTAGAACAAACCTAGACTGAGGAATAAATTTAGTATGTCCGATTACAAAATTGCATTTGTTTTTAAATAGTATTCATTTTTCAATATTTACTAATAGATAACGAAAGTTGAAAATTTGAATGAAATTCTATATTTTAACGATGAATCATGAATCACATTTACTTTAACCACATATGTTAAACAAATCATTAATTCATTTACATTTGTCAGCAATTGAATTCTCATTATAAATTCATTTTTATCAAATAACATATAAAATTATGAATAAATGATTCTTGATAAATGAGTTCATTATCTTTAGGAGTTTTTATCAGTTTTTAAATACATGATATTTATAGTTTAAGTGTATAATGCATATTGTAAATTGAAACTAATTTCTTGAAAATCATTTCTAATTACAGAGCGACGATAAATTCGTTTCTGGTAGTTGATTTACTTGGTTGCTGCTGCGTGTACATAGTATTTGTTGCCGATAATATGAAGCAGGTTGTTGATTTTCATGCTGATATTGAACTGGACAAACGAATTTACATGGCAATGCTTTTGCCATTTTTAATGGCCCTGTGTCTAATCAGGAATCTTAAACTTTTGGCCCCCTTCTCTATGGTTGCCAATTGTCTTGTTGCTGTTGGACTGGGAATTACATTTTACTACATTTTTGATGATTTGCCACCTTTGGACTCGGTGAAGAAAACTGCCAGTTTACCCCAACTTCCTCTATTCTTCGGAACTGCAATTTTCGCATTGGAGGGCATTGGTGTGGTAAGTATATTTATTTACTTTTATAATCAGAATGTCAGTGAACCTGATATTGAAACTGTTTTAAGGCACATCAGTAATTTTTATGAAGTATTTTAGCCCAATTGCAAAAACCTTTGGTCTTAAGCTATAATTACCAAATAGTGCATAAAACTCAACAAGAATCTGATTGAGAATCTTCTTACTTGCAAAGAATGAAAAATTTTCCTTCTTTCAGGTGATGCCTTTGGAGAATAACATGAAGAATCCAACCCACTTTACTGGTTGTCCAGGTGTCTTGAACATTGGCATGTTTTTCGTGGTGTTGCTCTACAGCGTCGTCGGATTCTTTGGTTACTTGAAATATGGAGAAAAAACTCTTGAATCAATTACATTGAATCTGGATGAAACACAAATTCTTGCCCAATCCGTAAAATTGATGATTGCCATTGCAATTTTCTTGACCTACGGTCTTCAATTCTACGTACCAATGGAGATCATATGGAAGAATTTGAAACAATATTTTGGCTCAAGAAAACTTGCCGGCGAATATCTCGTGAGAATTGTTCTTGTCATCTTCACAGTGGCAGTGGCGATTGCTGTCCCAAATCTAGGACCGCTAATCTCTCTGGTTGGTGCTGTGTGCCTTTCAACAATGGGTCTTATGTTTCCGTCAGTTATTGAACTCGTCACTGTTTGGGAGCAGGAGAATGGTCTTGGCAAGTGGAACTGGAAATTGTGGAAGAACATTGCAATTATTTGCTTTGGAATATTGGGTTTCCTGACGGGAACCTACTGCAGTATTTTGGAAATTCAGGCAGCTCACAGCAAAACGAAGCACTGAGCGAGGGGGACACTTTCATGATAAAAAACCCCCCTTCTCATCAGAATGACTTCTGATGAGTCCATGAAGTTGATGTCATGTCATGTCATCGAGTGATGCGTTTTGCGAGGGTATTTTATGTTTCTACTGCTACCCTTATTTTCCCATCATAAAAGTCTTAAATCTTAAAAACGGCTGCTCTCTTCCTTTCGAGAAAACAACAATAAGAAACAAAAGAGGCTGCAAAACCTAAATCTTTGCTCCCTATAGGAGCAGTTGCGCACACTTTGTACCACGTTGGTACTCTTATGACTGACCGTTTGAAATCAAAAAGTAATTGACATGGAATTTAACATTCACTATGACTTATTACTTTCTGAAAATTGAAGTCTCATAAGCCTTCAGTTTAAATCAAGAATCATGCAGCTCGCTTTTAGCTGATCATGGGAGTAAAACAAAGAAACAATGCCATCAGTTTTTTAAGAAAAGAAGCAGGATAATCGTAACACCTGAGATTAATGAAAGTATTAGTTTGGCTTTATTGTTTGTCAAGCTAATAGCAGCGAGCTTCCTTAAAAGCGCACAATTCGCGAAATATTTTTTTTCGAAAAATGATTCTTTCTGTAAAAATAAAAGCTTCAGTATTGATTGATTTTTCATTCGGTTTTTTGCACAGATACGGGGATTGTCTTTTCGAAAATCTTCGATATCTTTTTCTCTATACCATCGCCTACATTTTTCATTGACCATCTCTCTGCTTCACATATACATATGTACATATTTTATATATACGTATAAATATGAATATAGTTATAGTTAATATTCATATTTATACGTATGTGTATAGAAGTTCGGAAATTTGTGATTTTGCCTCGCATTAAAGTCGTAGCAATCTCTCTATATAGTATATAAATGTATTTTTCATTAGAATTAGAATAGAATCGTTCAATTTTAATCGAGAGATTTTTTTTAAGATCGTTTTTCAATTCTTTTAACTTTTTCCCGTTTTTGTTTTCCTGGGGGAAAAAATTGCAGCCAATTTTTACTGTTTCATATTGTGCATAGAGCTCCATTGTTTTTTAAAATTTATAAATAATAAATTGAACAATTATACGAATGAAAATTTATAAATAAAAATCATTCCTAGCGGTATCCCTTGAGTGGTCGTTTTTCTATCAAAATTATAAAAAGCAAAAGTTGAAAGCAAAAGTTCGTATTAATCTCTTTGATTCTAATCCTTAACACACATTTTCTATCCTTTTGTAAATAATTAAATCACATCTATTGATTTGATTCAAGTTCCTCAATCAAGGGATTATGCTAAGAGAGTTATTTTTATAACATTTTTCTATTGTACATTAAATAAACGCAATACGGTCCATTGTGGCCAACTATAGCAGGATATGACGATAGATTAAAAATCACACAGAACAATAAATTGAAAGACTTTTTTCCGTTCAATTATACTTACTGTTCCTATCATAATTACACGAATAAAAAAAGTATAATCCGAAGGCATTCCAATGAATACGATCTTTATTGCTCTATATGTATAGTAGTCAAGGAAAAAGTATTTTAATTTCAAGACTTGTAAAAAAATGAATGGTATTTCAAATTAGATGTAATAACGAAATCATTTAAATCCAAAGATTTTATTTTCAAGAACTATTGTTTGAAAAATTAAGAAAAAAAAATTTTGTCTTTTAATAAGAAAAATCTTTGTTTGAAAATTCGAAGACTGATTTCGTTAAGTGAAAAAGAAAAAAGAAATATTTTCCATTATATCTTTTTTTTTGTGTCAGAATAATAAAAATTACGAAATGAATGTTCTTTTTTTTCTTCAACAATTTAATTTTGAAAAAAAGTGACGAGTAATCGCTGCTGAATCTCAAGCTCAGGCAAAATATAATACATTGTTTTTTAAAAGTTGCACTTTTGTACAAAATACATGACAATATCTAATATAAATATTTTTTTTAGAGCGAGAGAGAAAGAAAGAAAGAAAGAAAGAGAGAGAGAGAGAGAGTTAAATATTAAATGAAGAACGTGTTGAATATTTTGAACAGTGTCTCGTGTGTTTATTATTCGATAAACTGTAAATTGCGATAAATTAAATTTGTTAAATTAAGCGAAAAAATTGAAACCAACGAATAAGCAGAATGACTCGTTTATTTTACGTTTGCTAGTCGACATTGAAGAATTAAAAAGAAGTGATCGCCTCGAAAACTATCGCGTGCCTAAGATTTTTTTATACATAAAACTTTAATATTTAAAAACCAAAAAAAATTATAAATCGTGTCAATTTTTTTCAAAATGAATTTTTTAGATTTACACTATTTGTAAAAAAGAATAAAATACAGAGCTTTGTTTTTTCTCGATAATTACTCTACAGACACACGAAACGAATTTATACGTTAATGAATTTATTGCGACGGGCGCTTTTATACTCGAGTGGTTTAGTTATGTACCACTGTAGACTATGTTCTTTGCCTTGCTATTATTATGTAGTTGAGGTGTAAAACTTATGCGTAGAAATGCAGAGAATATTAAAAGTATAAGTAGGCGAGGTCGATTTCTTGACCGTTCGATAGCAGTGATTTTACACGCGAATGTAGATATATACATATACATACTTTTGTGTATATTGTTATTTTATTAATCATTGTACCATACGTTATTCTATTTAATACATGATCAATCGAATTTTCAAAAAATGACTTTTTTATTTTTCAAAACCGAAACACCAATTTTTAATTTTTGATCCTAATTTTTATTATTAAATAGAGTAATTAAATTTTTATACATTTAAAATTTAGAGTATCATTTTAAAGATTTTTGTAAAATATGTTTTGAACTTAGAAGAAAGATTTACCAATATAGCCTTAGTGAAAATATGTTTCTAAACCTAATAAACATTAAAGAACAAAGGATTTTTAATCTCTTAGAACAACAAAAGATTACTTTGTAAACTTACCATGAATAATACTGGTGGAAGAAATCGCTGACAGGAAAAGTCTTTTCAGGTTTTCAAAATATAATATAATCGCACAGCAGGACATTACAAGAAGTAGAACTGTGGCAGTTTAAGAGTTTGACAATAATTTTACGCCTCCGGATTAGATTTGTTTCTGGCCATTCTTTACCACTTGTTTATGTTTAGAGATAATAAATGCAGTGGTTTTTAAACCCACTTTTGCTTTTTCTCCTATCTCGAAAGATCAATACGTTGGACCTATTTTTGTTTGTTCAAACCTTTATGTTTCATATTTGTTCTCCTTTCAGGTGGAGTGGTCCAAAAACGCCTTAAACATTACAATTAAATAGAAATAAAAATATTTTTTTTTGCTTGAAGGATTAGAGAGAAGTTCAGTTTTATCATTCTGATTTATAATTTCTGAGAATTAATTTTCAGACCAATCTTTAAATCTTTTCTATGAAGAAATTAAAATTCCTTAATCTTTTCATTTCCTTCTTCCTAACTGACTTATTACAAGTTACTTAATACAAGTTGAGGTACGATTAAACAGAGAAATTTGAACACAGCTACGATCTTCAAACTGAATTACTGAACGAAAGAGAGTAACTACTGCGCATGAGCAAACGGTTAGTCCTTCCAGGAATCGAACACACAGAGACATCTGGTAGCACTTTAGTATATTAACCTGAATATCTTCAATAAATTAAGTGTAGATGTAGTGAAGGCTGTTCCTAAAAGTGTACTCTTAATTTGTTATTTTTATAGAAACGAAAGAATCATATTTTAATTACGAAAAATGTTTAACGACGTTGTAAAAAAGACAGCAAAAAGTTCCGAAGCCACTGAGGTAATTAAAATTATTTGTATAAAGCACTTTTTATATATAGAAATAAAAATTCAATTAATCTTTACTACTTTATTCAATTATTTTTAAGGCTGACGTTAGGGAAGATGAAGAGCAAGGTGTTAAATTTCAAGAGATTATTGATCTCTTGGTTGCAGCTGGTTATTTTCGGGCAAGAATTAAAGGATTGTCAAATTTTGACAAGGTTGGTAATTGCTTCGAATTGTCAACAAATAATAATACAGTAATTCCCTGCAGTACCGATGAAGAAATGTAGTACAAGTTTCTTATTTCCTACTAAAGATGGATACGTTAAGTTCATTCCCCGGTATTTTTAAATTTGTTTGTGATACCTTTAAGAATGAATTATAGTTTGTATTATATTATATTATAAAGAAGCAAAAGTAATATTTAATAATAATTTTAGGTCATTGGAGGATTGACCTGGTGTATAGAAACGTGCAATTTCGACATTGATGTGGATTTACTGTTTAGGGAAAATTTAACCATTGGACAAAAAATGTAAGTTTACAAAATATTATTAGGTTTTAAATTTTTAATAGATTATATTAGGTTTTTGGTTTATTTTAAGATAGTAATGTTAAAATAACAGTTTCATAAAAATTGTGTGAATTGAAAGACAATATAATTTAAAGATATGTATAGTATAAAACAACTTACTCACATTAAAAAAGCCAAGTATTTTTTATTTAGTTTTTTTTATTTTATTATTTTTTATTAGTAATTCTAAAAGTTTAATCTTAATTTTGTTTTTTTCAAAAAAAGATACAATTTTTTCATAGAGCCCTAACGGAAAAGATTGTTGCGGTCTTACCAAAAATGAATTGTCCTCATCGAATTGAACCTCATCAGATTCAAGGTCTCGATTGCATTCACATATTTCCAGTTGTCCAGGTTAAATAAAATTGTGTACTTTATTTATTTTTAATAATTATAATAATTACTTAATAAAATTTATTGTCATTGTAATTTTAGTGGCTAGTAAAACGCTCGATGAAGACAAGAGAGCAAATGGCTGGATTTGTCAGATCCTTTGCTGTTAGTCAGTTTGAAAAGACTCATTCATCTGTAGATGATCAAAAAGACCCAACTTTAGGAAAAATAGAGAATATGATACCCAACATAATGCTAGTAAAGGTACTTATTTAAAAAAATTCTTAACACCAAATAACAGAATTAAATTAAACAGTAGGAGAAAGTAAAAAAAGTATTGTTTTGTTAATTGTCAATGAAAAGTTTTAATTATTTTACCACAGAAAGTTTATGAAACAAGACGACCCGAAGGTGGAACATCTACTGTTCAGAGTTCGCTTTTAGAATACGGAGCGGCAGCTCACATTTTCACTGATACTGCTGATGGAAATGATGAAAGTCAAGAGCAAGAGGTTCATTTCACTTTTTCTGTAAAAATTTACCAAATTCGTAATAATGTAAATGAATTTATAATTTTTTTATTATTTCTTTAGATGGATGTTGTAGATGAGGCACAATCACAAATTTCTAAAGTTACTGATCGTTACGCCAGTCTAATAATTTCTGAAGTATGTATATTTAGATTTTTTGACATAACAAACACATAATTTCAAGCCACTTTGAAATTTAATTTAAAAATGTTCACTAATTAATAAATTAAAAAAGCAATTTCAAACTTCCATATAATTAAGAGAGAAAATGAAAATTAGATTTTATTAATTTTTTCTTTCTTTGCTCTTTTATTGAGGACAACGCTTCATTCCGCGCTATAGCTGCTTTGGAAAAACAAAAGTCCACTTTAGAAAATAAAGCGCAAAAGTTGAGAAAGGAAAGAGACAGCTTGTTAACAAAAGTCTCGGATGCAAGTGACAGACTGAAAAAAATACGTTCTGGCCGTAAAGCCGTTGAGGAAGCTTTCAAGAAAATGAAGGAAATGGAAACCAGTGAGAATGAGGAGTAAGATTTGATTAATAATTATTTTTTATTTAATAAATTTGTGTAAGTACATTTTTGCCAATTTTTGATGAAAATTAACTTTTCTGTTAAAGAACACTGAGAAAATTAGAAGAACTTCTTTCCGTTCACGATGGTCTAAAAGATCAGGAGAACAAATTTCGTGATCAGTGCAGAATGGATTTGAATCTTTTAAGAAATGCCGTTATGGAAATCGAAAAAGGCGAACCTCAGAAGGAGGAAGTTCGAGTAATTGAATATGAAGAAAAAAAGGAAAATGTTAATCGTCTAAGACTACAATTAGCGAAGAAGAATAGAGTCATAGCTTCACTTACAAGGCAATTAGATGATGTGCCCGGAAGATCAGAGTTAACACAATATCAACGCCGATTTATGGAATTGTATAATCAAGGTTTAGAAATGATTTCTTAGTTATATTCTAACTTTGAGTTCTTTATGAACATATTATGAATATGTTTATGATTCAAAATTTAATTTACAGTTTCTGCAAAACACAAGGAGACTAAACAGTACTATACTCTTTACAATACGTTGGATGACACCAAACTTTATTTGAGCAAAGAACTTTCTTTGCTTAACTCAATTCAAGATAATTATAACGAGTACGTTAAAATTACATTTTACATTCTACATTCCGATTGTCAAATAGTTTCCGTAACGATTTTTAATTTTTTTCCAGAGCAATGGCTTCAGCAAGTGGTAAAGAACAATTCTTGAAGCAATTCGAAGCAATTGTTGAAGGGGTTAAGCGAAATAAATCCAAGGTAACGGTTCTTGTAAATAGTATTTATCATGTACTAAAATTATTAACCATAAGTGTTTCATCCAAATTCAAATATATTTTGCAGGTTGAAAAGCGTTGTGCAGAGGAGAAAAGCAGAAGAGATGCTCTAAGTCGACAACTTGTTACTTTAGTAGAGCAGCAAAGAAAGTATGTTGCGGCTGTTAAACAACTAACAATAGAGTGTCGTAAAAATGAAACACTTCTGGCACAACTACGTGGTCCGTAGAACATGGCTCCACTAACAAGACAATCATTCTCGGAGAGAAAATAAAAATTAGGAATAACTATATAAGTAATTTTCTTATACACTTTTATCATGTACAAACTTTAGTCCAATAAATTAAAATATGAAATTTATTTTTTGCTTTTCCTTTTAAATTGTATGAGAGTTTTTGCGGTAGAAGAAGATGCTGACATCTTGAGAGATTTAGAAGAACATTAATGTCCTTCTCCTCTCAAGAAGTCAGCATCTTTTTAATGATTTTATAAAAGGATTTCAGAACATACAAACAAATTTCATGCTATGATTACAATACAATTATTATTTGTTACTGTGATTGTAAAATTTATCCAGGTAGTGATTTTTAATCATCCATTTTACAGAATGAGAAGCAGAAAAGTGTGCGTCTAAGTTCTAATACATTTGCATAAAAAGTAGGGTTGGGAGCTTCAGGGATCTTGTACAAAAATTAATTAGACTTAAAGAGTAAATTTGAAGTTGAAATGAATTTGTATTTGTCATCGAAAATAACCATTTCCTTGGAGATAAGCGAATGTTGTAAAAACGAAATGTAGAATAATAAGAACAAAATAATAGTACATCAGAAGAGTATAAACTTTTGTACAAGGGACAATTGTACTTGAAAAAAATAAAACCGACTATTACAAGTATATAGTCGAACGGGCCACTGGAGAGAGTGAAGTTATTAGCCGCTTTTGCTGCTTTTATGAATTAACACACTGAACGAGTGCTTTAAAGCGCTCTTACAACGCGCGGTACCAGTGTGAGCTGTTATATTTTTCTTTGGGCTTTTAATTAGTCTGGTCATTAATTAAACACAACTCTACTTCGAGGGCTCCGCTCAGCTCACGGACAGGTCTCTTTTCTCTCCTTCTCGCCTTTTTCCGTTGTCGACTCAGCTTTGCTACACTTGAGGAATTTTAATTTTGCCGACGTGTAAACACGCGAGCGTCAATTTATTTCACCGCGGGGAACGTTTTAAAGGGTTTTTCACTATTGGTTCGTTCCATCTCGATTTGAAAACTATGGAAAAATTTTTACTCTCACTGGTCCTTATAACTGCTAGGTGCTTATAACTGTGTCTATTTTTTCCGAACTCTAACAAAGTTTTAAAAATAGTATTATGAAATTAATTTATCCCAAATTATTTATTAAGTCGAGTTAGAATATTCTTAACGTACGTTCGTTATAGAAATTGACTTATCAAGAAAATGAACAATTGTCGTGTCAAGCGTCCATAACAAACGGTCGTAAAAGAAAATTATTACCCCAGGAGCATTATCAAATTACGAATTCGTAACAATTATCTCATCACTAATTAAATATGAATAAGTCCGAAATTTTTGATTAAAAAGATTCTTAGTAGCAACGAAAGTTTATGTATTCGCTAATGTATGATACAATCTTTTTTATATGCCCGCATTTTCTCGTATCCAATCACGATAAAAAGCAACATTAGTGTATACTCCGGGAAGATATGGACGAGCGCATCCAATACCCCAGGAAGTTATTCCCGCGAGTTTACCATTAAGTTGGAAAGGTCCACCAGAATCACCCTGGCATGCGTCGATACCACCTTTTAAAAATCCAGCACAAATTTGCTCTCGTGGAATGCGATAACCCAAATTCTTTTCACATTTATAACGCGGAACAATTGGTACATTTGCCTTTTGGAGAAAATTCGGTAAAACTGAACTTGTCTCTTTCAAGCTTCCCCATCCTGAAATGAGACCCATTGAACCTGTTTTTAACTCCCGTTCGTCACTATTTAAAGGAATTGGCATTCGTCTTCTACTGATGTGTGAAAACTCCGGTTTTACTCTAATAAGCGCAATGTCGTTTAAAAGAGCAAAAGGTTCCATCGTTTTGCTATCAAAATTCTTATGCAAAATTACAAACACAACATTGTGCTGATAACCATATTTTCTTAATTCCTCAATACCACTGTGAATTCGCACATGATTAACGACAATGTAATCAGGAAAACAGTGAGCAGCTGATAAGGCCCATTGTCGATGGATAATGCTTGCCCCACAAAAATGACTTCCATAAATTCTCACTGACAATTGATAAGGAACATCGGAGATTTTCGCTCTCATTCCGCCGACAATTTTTCCAAGTTTATCAGCATCGGAATTTGTTGTGATTGCATTAATTGTGTATGCGATAAATTGTTCCATTAACTTTAATATGCACGTCCATTCGATTGGATTGGCTGCAAGAGAAATGCAAAATAAAAATATTAAAAGAAAATGTAAAAATAAAAATTAGGTAGAAAAGTTGAAGTATTTAAAGATATGAATGAAATACAAATGAAAATAAAATATGAATCCAAGTTAGAATAAGAGTTAGATAAAGCTTTAGGTAAGTAGAAACTTGCACTCGGCAAAAAGTGAACCAGGACCACATAAATCGAATTCTTTATTAATTGTTATCAAAATTTTTTGAAGAATCAAAAACTTTCTACATTATTCAAATTGTATTCAAACTCCAGTAATTCCTCGTATCCACCGGCGATAAAAAGTAACTTCAGAATAAACACCAGGATATCCTGGTCTTCCACAACCCACACCCCATGAAACAACTCCGGCTAGTTTTCTGTTAATAACCAAAGGTCCACCGGAATCACCCGAACAAGAATCTATATTTCCCTTTGGATATCCAGCACATATCTGTCCACGAGGGAGATTAGGATACGATTGAAGACATTCCCGACGCGATATAATTGGAACCCTCGCTACATGAAGATTGAGAGCATAATTTTGCTTTGTCTCCGAAATATGTCCCCAACCACTAATTACACCCACTGCTCCAATTGATACCGTTTGATTTTCATTCAACATTTCAATTCGTTTAACAAAATGTGAATACAAAAATGGTTGTTCGAGATGAACGAGTGCAATATCATTAACGGGTGTTCCATCACTTTTAGCATGATAATTATTGTGAATTATAATTTCTTCTATCCTATGTACTCTTCCAAAGTAAGTCGCCTTACTTGTACCGCTACGGATCCTTATTGCTTGAATGGGAAACATGTCAGGAAAGCAATGAGCTGCAGATAGGGCCCAATTTGATGTAATGATGTTTGCACCACAAATGTGCCTGTCATACAATTCTACAGATAGTTGATAAGGGACTTGTGATATTCTAGTCACAGCACCACCAACAATTCGAGTTTGAATTTCTTCTTTCGTTTTGGAAGTGGGAAAATAATTTGACGTTGGTTTTCTGTCTAAATGTAGACGAAATATGCCCATCAGACAAAATTTATCCCCTGTAAAACAAATACAGTTTCCAAAACATTTCAAAGAAACTCCATTTTTCATTTTCAGAATCAGAATATTCTTTAGGGTCAGGGAAGAATTGAAAATTTTGTCTGCAAATCAGGGAAAAGTCAAGAAAATTCTGTAAGTTTTTTATTTTAATAATATTTTAACATTTGTTTTATGATTATATATATATATAATAATAAGTATTAATAATAACAATAATAAGTTTTGTTGCAATTTTTTTTAAAATGCGCATTTGATTCAATTTTTGCAAATAAATTGCAACAAAGCAAACTTTTTATCAAAAGCTCCTTATTTTATTATTTTCCTCCAATGTTTTATTTTTGTTTACATAAGTGGGATAAAATTACAAGTGAAATTGAAATTTGTCAAAATGGCAATCAAATCAAAATATTAGGGTATACGTCACGGTGTTCGTAGATTTTTCAACATAATGGATAGAGAAGCGAAATTACAACCATCCATCATTCGCAAAAAAAACTTATTACACAATTTTTTTGTGATATGCATAAAATATAATTTAAAATACGAAACAAGGTACTAGAGGGAAAATTTTGTTATTAAATGTAATTGTTAAATAAAAAAAGAATATTAGTAGCATTTTAAATTCATTAAATAGATAATTACGGAGGTTAATATTAAAACCAAGATCATAAAAAATAATAGTAAATGCTTTTATGAGATGCATATTTCTGGTAATTATCGTGTAGAACAAAGCGCCAGTGCAGTGAAAATGTTCGTTTAACTATCAGGAATAAAAATTATGCAAAGACTCACCATTTATAAAGACAACAACGGCAAGTATAATAAGTAGTTTGATATTCATCTTCTAAAAAATATTGAGCCAATTTAAGAAAAATGCTTTATTTCTTCTTTTTTCTCCACTGACGAAAAAAAATCCAACTAATTATGATTGAAAGTCGATTTATCGAAGGCTTTTACTCTAACTAAGCGATCAGTCACTTTTATTAAAGCAGCATTCTAGGTACTAAAGATTATTAAAGATTAAAATTCACACTGGTAAGTTTGCAATTGTGGATTTTTGTATTTAAAAGAAGACAATGAATTTAAAAATTATTATTCTTGATTAAAATTATCCATCTTGTGAATTTTTTCTTTTCTTCTGCATTGTTATTAATTGGGTCCAATTTCTTCCCCAAACTGATTGTACGGTATCTGATTTTGAAGATGGGAAAAAGGCTATTTTTGAAAAATGTTCGAAGGAAGAAGAGTTCTTTCAGTCGTCAGACAGGCGTACACTTGAGTATGCTGAGAGGGAGGTGTATCATTTTCCAAGGGACCGACGAAACGACCGCGTGGTTCTATCCCAAAAGTCATTCGCAGAAGCACACCCTCTCTTGAACCAACCCAGTGTGAAAAATGTATAGCAACCGAAATAACCAACGTGAGTAACGGAGATCGGTACGTTTTTAGCTTCGCTTCGCACCCTCACGGAAAGTCGTGAATTTCACCAACCCTGCAAATTACTTTCTCTTCTTGTGGTTGAGAAAAAAAACTGAGTGAAATAGTCTCTAATGTTTTACATAAAAGACTCTCGATAGCTGACGTTGACTTAATTCCTTGCGGGCAATTTTTAAGCCAATTCTTCAAATGATAAAAAAATGAATTTTTTGGAAAAAAACTAAGAAGGAAGGAGTAAAGTAATGTTTTAGGTTCGTCCTTCCAGGAATGTTAGAGCAAAACTACAATTAGCTGAGTAATAAAACTTGAGCTTACAGCGGAAGCTTTGAGCTTGAATCGACGTCTTTGGCACACCGTTGAGAAATTCTTTTTGCCTTTTGAGGTTTACGCGAATCTCGAAAAAGAGAAAAAATGGCAGCGCTGAGGGCTTTATGCTGTACCGAGTTTCGAAGTACCTAGAAGTTTTGCCCCCAAGTAAGAGAGTCAGTCGGGTGCACTTAGGCGAAGGTGGGTACACTTATCCCTTGGAGTGTCTGCGGTTCGTTCGAAGCTGAAATTGCAGTTTTAATGGAAACGTGTGCCGGACTTTTCAGATGAAAAAAAGGAACGAAAAGAAGAATGGATTGATTAATATGCCTTATTAACATTCACCACTCGCTTATTCAAATTTTGCAAGAAAGTAAACGATGAATAATTTTGATTACCAAGCGAAAAGATCGCTGGGGTTTGGTGGAAATTTCTTATATATGAAAAGTAACTATTCTTTGCTTTAATGTTGAGAAGAAAAAGTGTTAATTAACTAACGAGAAATGAAATTTATTTAGTGATATTACTGTATATTATAGGTAAGTTATGCACCATTAACATTTATATTATGGGATTTTATTTTTGTTATTGAACCATCCATCAAGGAGAGAGACAGACGAAAGGGAAGGAGCCAATGAGGAAATTTCTTCGACTCGATCCAAATTGGGAAGAACCTCAGTGATGTTCTTTCCCTTTACTATATTGCGGGTGTAGGTAGGAAAGGCAAGTTGATTTGCGGGTTTCAGAGGGTGCGACTATAAACCAAGAAAACGCTCCCCTAGCTAACTTGGAGCACGTGAGGTATTAAATTACCGGTGTGTTCGACGAGACTATAATTTAAAGGCACCCTATCCAAAGATATTTTGGCTATCTTTCACTTCGAAGTGTGATTTTTCTACTTTAGTTCCGACATTTAAACTTTCCCTTCCGCAAATAAGACATCGATACTTGATGCATAAAACAAGTTTAAGAGGGTTTGAAAACTTCAATTTTAGCTCGCCCTCTTTTCACTAAACGGACAGTTCCCTCTCTGATGACCTCTTCAGTTACTCAAGAAATTTCTTTCGGGCAAACAATTCGAAAAATCAAATTTCTATAGTACAACACTGAATCTAAAACAGTTTAGTAATCAGCCTAAAACTTGAGGAATTAATCTAAATCCAAATTCAATAATCAAATAACATTAAATAATTCAAGGCTCGAACTAGGTCCGTAAATCCCGTAAAAGTTCGTAACTTTGCTTGAAGTCCGTAAAAATCTGTTTTTTTAAAGTTCCGCAAAGTCCGTAAAATTTCATTCAAAAAGAATGGAAAGTTCGTGAATTGTAAGATATAATATGAAGAACATTAGAGAAATTACAAATGATTGCAGAAATTCAATTATAAAATTCTTTGCAGAAATTCAATTATGTTCAACAATTTTTAAAAATTCTCGTCAAAATTTCAATTATCTTTAGAAATCATTAAATTATTCTCTGAAATTCAATTATTTTCAAAAATTTTAATAAAATACTTGGCAAAATTTCAATTATTTTCAAAGATATTTCTTAATTCAATGATTTTAAATATCTACTATTTTAATAAAATTTTCCAAAAGAATTCAATTATTTAAAAAAAATTAAATTAAATTCTACACAAACTTTTCATTATTTTCTAAAAACATTAAAAAAAAACATAAAAAAAACATTATTTGAAACATTATTTTCTAAAAAATTTCACAGGAATTTCATTATTTACAAATTTTTTTTATAAATTTCTTCGCAATCATTGAATTATTTATTCACAAATAATAAAATTTTTATATGGATTCAATTATTTTTAACACAATTTTAAACGAATTCCTCGAAAAAATTCTTAAAAATTTTATTAAAATTCGTCAAAAGAATTCAGTTATTTAAAAATTTGTTGATAACATTCTTTATTATAAGAATTCAATTTTAAGAAACATGTAATTATTCAATAAATTATTTAATTTTTGTATTTAAATATATGTATTCTAGTAGAATTCTCTCATAATCATTGATTTAAAAATAGATTTCAGTTAAAATTTTATATTATTATTGAATATTAAGATTAGAGTGTAAATTTTTAGAAATAATTGAATTTTGAAAAGGTTTCAGATTAAAATCTTTGAAAATTGGAATTTTTCATAATTTTAGTCAACAATTCTGTCGACAATTAATTTTTTTTAAGAAACGTTAATTGCGCATTTTTTTTGAAATTATTTACAGCTTTCATAATCTAATATATTTAATTAAAGAATTGACAAATAATTGAAATTGTGTAAAATTGAATTGTTTTCAAAAGTTATTAAAAATAATTAATTTATAAAAGATGTTTAGTTAAAAACGCAAAAAAAAAAATTTCAATTTTGGAAAAGTTACAAATTATAGCAGAAATTCAATTATTTACAAGAGTAATAATATTCTTCGCAAAAATTAAATATTGTTCAAAAGTAATAAAATTCTTTTTAGGGATTAAATTATTTTCACAAATAATAAAACTCATCGCAGAATTTCAATTATTTTTAATACAGTTTTAATCAAATTCCTCAAAAAATGTAATTATTCTTAAACTTTTTTTTTTAAATTCGTTGATAGAATTCAATTATTTGAAAATTTATTGATAACGATTCTTTATGGAACTAGTTTTCTTCAAAAAGTTTTACTATTTAATTTAGAAAAATATAAAATTATGTCTGACTAAATATTGTTTTTCTACTGTTACGTCAAAACTGAAACCTTTTTAAATATACCTAACATTCCTCGTTTTAAATTAGTTTCAGAAATTGAATCTAATTTGGGATGAGGATAAGTCAATGAGCCTACTAAATGTTATGAGAGAATATTTATTTAAAACCCAACCAAGAAAGAAAAGAATTGACAATAGTACAAAAATACAATGAGTATAAAAATCTTACTTTTGGAATAACGATTATTGCAGGTGTTGAAAACTGGTGATTGTTATCTCGATTTCCGATCTGAAGTGGTTATGAGAAGTAGACACAAAGGAGCCTGTGGTTGGTGTCCTTAATGGTTGTATATTAGCCTTGTTGTTTACACTAATGGGATTTAGTGTATTGTATTCTTGGGGATTTTTCTCTTCTTCCAGACTGTCGCCTCCAAAGCAAATCTCGATGTTTAGAAATTAGAAATACTGTTTCAATATTTGATTTTGAAACGTGAAAACAATTTAGTTCTTCTTGGGTTATCACTTATTGCTCGTAGTTAAACAAGTGAATTTATTAATTGTTGTAC